GCTGTTTGGTCTGGCAGCCTGATGTTTCCTCTGCCCTCATACACCCCTTCCCCTAACAAGCGTAGTTTAAAGCCTTAATCATCACTGTATCTGCTGAGGAATGCTTTGCATTTGAAAGCTTGTCTAAGCCTATCCCAACCATGCAATTGGTCCAATAAAAGATATCACCCACAAAAATCCTTGCCCAATTTATGCTGGGATTAAGGAACATTTGACTCAGGAAAGTAATTTTTGGTCAAATAGTGCTAAAGTTGAAGTCTTGGGGATAGTGCACTCTTATATTTGGACACTAATGGCAGGGCTTTACTTGTTAGTGTCCTTGTCATTTTTCCTGCCTCAGACAGGACTCTTCCTGTGGGAGAGTCTCCCAGAGCAAGGAAGAAACTTGACCCTGTTTTGGCCAGAAACCCCAGGATGCAATTCTTTTAGTTCTGTCATGTGTTTTTAAGTAAAGAAGCAGCTGGAGACCCCAGTCAGGATTAGGGAGACCACTTTATGGTTGGTCAGAACAGCCCTGTGAGTTTTATTTCTTTCAGTGCATAACATAATGCCTAGAGCTTTAAAATACACTAAAATAAAAAAAGAGTGAAAATACTTTGAGGGCATTAATTGAGCTTGCTTGCTTATAAAAGCCTCCTCTTCCTGAGCAAAAAATTCTTGCATTATATCTTGTTGGTAAGAACTCCTGATTGTTCAGTGAGGTTGGGGACCAGTTCAAGGCTTGAGGCCCTTTTGTAACTACCATGTTACTGAGGCCAGAGGGTGTGGATCTAAGGGCTGCCAGTAATATACCTGGGTGCACCTGAAGATTAAAAAATTTAGTTATGGTAGAGTAAACATGCCTGCTTAGTTATCAGTGTTCTCCACTGAAAGTATATTGTACTCGTCCAGAGACAGTCCCAGCTTCTGCTGCGGGTCCAGGTCACACGAGCATCTTGTCAATCTGTCACTTGCCTGGCCTCTGAAAAAGAACTGACCAGACACCTCTTCTTGCTCACTCTGCATGTGTGCTACCGAAGTGTGTGTAGTGGTGTGGAAGCTGTTGGGCCTTTTCTTACAATGGCCTGGAGAAGGGACCAAGAGAATACCAAAGGAAATCCCCGGGCTTTCTGAGTACAGGAGAGAAGGGTAGAAGACCAGAACTTGGTTCTTTAGCAGCCCAGCACATTAGAATTACATAGGACAGGGAGAGGGGATGAGCCAGAA